TTATTAAATCATGGCTGTGTACATTAATGCAATCATGGGGTACAATGTGCTGGTTTTATATACAATTTGAAATATTTTCATCAAACTGGTTAACAAAGCCTTCACCGCATGTTCTTAGTTATTGTGTTAAGACATTTATATTCTACACTTAGTAAATTTAACATGTACCCTTACAAAATGCATCATTATAATGACACCAGTCCCAGCAGACTAGAGCCCATCCTAATTGAGAATGACATCAACTTAACAAATTTCTTCCTCAAAGATGTATTTGCAAAAGGGTCCTATACCAACGTACTAGGGTTTAGGTCACAGAGGTCCTCAAACTTTTTAAACAGGGAACCAGTTCACTGTCCCTCAGACCATTGGAAGGCCAGACTGTGGGCCCTGGGATGAGTCGGCTGCTAAGCAGGATAGGCACCAGCGGCAAAAACACCTGGTGGGCTGGATAAATGTCCTAGGCAGGCCGCATGTGGCCTGCCGGCCATAGTTTGAGGACACCTAGTTTAGGATGTCAACATATCACTCCTGGGGCACACAAGTCTACCAAAAACAACATACATGGAACACCAGTGAAATAGAAACAACAATATTTCTAAGAAATAAAAGATTAAATGATATCCATCCACTGCACAAATAGAATTAATGATATATCTTAGATAAAAAGTTAACAAATAGTACCTGCTCTTGTAGGAAGGAACCATTTTTAAGTAACATGAAGTTAAATTTTTAAACCAAGAGTCTGTCTTAGGGAATTTACCCAGTCCCTCCAGGAGCTGACAGGCTGCAGGGCTTTCCAAGCCTTGGAGATACTCTTATTCTGGCACACTATGGTACAGATAGTGATCTCAAGGTCTTTATCTGAGAGGTTAAAATCTTTTTTCTGAAACAGAGTCTCACTCTGTTGTCCTGGCCAAAGTACTGTGGCCTTGGCCAAGCTCATAGCAACCTTAAACTCTTAGGCTCAAGCATTCCTCCTGCCTCAGCCTCCCAATGGGGAGCCTCAGGCACCTCCCACAATGCTTGGCTAATTTTCCTTTTTTTTTTTTTTTTTT